GGCAGATCCGTTCAATCCCCAAGAGAGTCGCTAGGGGCAGAGGAAGTGCGGCCGGAGGGGGCGCGGAGGCAGAGGGCGACGGGAGGGAGCCGAGCGGACGGGGGGCGGGACGCGCCGGCGGAGACCCGGCGACGCGCCGCGGGACCCGAGGGCTCTCAGGTAACGGGCTTTTCTGGGGGAGCCCGGAAGCGCCGGCGGCAGCCCACGGTGGCTCTCGGAGGACGCACGGCCGGGGACCCCGGAGCCCTCCCCGCTGCTCACCTCAGGTGGGGGGCAAACGCCCCTCCTGCAGCCGCGGACGCCCGTGGGGCGCAGCGCCTTGGCGGCGCGCGCACGCTCTCGGGGTCCCGTGTCCGGCGGGCCCAGCCGGGACCTGCAGAGCGCCCCTCGCTTCTCAGCCTGCCGGGACCCCGCCGCCTCGGGGGCTCAGCCCCGCAGCTCGGCGCGCTCACCCGCTCTGCCCTCTCGGAACCAGTGGCGGAGCTGGGAGCTGGGTGCCCTCGTCCGACACAGGTCTGCGAAGTGGGGCAGGGACGAAGTGGAGCCGCAGCGTTGATACTTGTATTTATACCCGTCCGGGGCTGCACCCCGAGGTAGGGGCGGGGGCTCCCTTCCCTTCCCCTCCTCCTAGGTCGAGTTTCACACACACGTGACTCGCGCTCTGGTCCCCGGCACCTAAAATTTACACGGCCACCTCCCCCCCTCGCCCCCCGCCCCCAGACCAATCAGGCGGCGCCCTCTCTATCCTTGATCAAAACAACCAGAGGTTTGGCTGAAGCAGACAGGCCGGGAACGCTGGACAGGCTTGGGTGGGGCTTTTAACTGTGCAGCTGGAAGTCTTGTTTTTCAAGATGCAGAACGACAGCGGTTTCTTTGGAATTAGATGGAGGTCTGAGTTTGGAAACTGATTGGCCTGGGTTACCTTGGGCCACTTGCTTTACCTGTCTCTGAGCCTTGGGTTCGTCCTCTGTAAATTCGAATAACAACGTAGTACTGCCTGCCTACCTGCCTACCTGCGGGAAAATGGCAGATGGAATTGGGGGTTCTGGTACAGAAATGCTCAGCACAGCGCTGGGTACCTAGTAAGCATAAAAAATGTTCATTGTCGCTGCTGCTGCTATCATTATAATTTTTCAGAAGACCTGGTGATAGGATGCTTCTAGACACTGATTAACTGATTGATTCCTAATAAATTTCTCAACTTCCTGGGCCTGTTTCCTCATCTGTGAAAGGGAAGCTGTCACTACCTGGACTGGCGTGTGGATTGATGAGATAACAGAGGCAAATCAATAGAGAGCTAAGCTTCATGCAGCGTGTCGAAAGCAACACTGGTGATAGCCACAGAGCTCTTGGCCATGTGAGCGACTGCCCAGGATGTTCCAAGAAGACGTCAGACAAGAGGGCATCTCTGAACAGCTGAATCACCGAGCCAAGAGAGGAACTCAGATTTGCTGAGTGACTACTATTACACTGGGCACCTCCCAAACAAACATTGTCATTAAATCTCAAAACATCATGGTCTCATTGAAACCTCACAGCCTTTTGCAGATGGAGAAGACTGGTGGCTGGCAGGTGGAACGTGGTGGGCAAAGGCAGGATGCAGACTCAGACCTGTGCGGCTTCTGTGTGTGGCCCTTGCCACTCCTCCAGGTCGGGAGGGTGACGAAAGCTAAGGCCTCGAAGTGGAAAAGGCACAAGGAGTTCTCCCTAGCAAGAGCACAGGGTCAGGCTCTGACGGTTTCAATTCTTAAAATTCATTGCTGGCTCCCTGAACTTCCAGATCGAGGTCAAACTCCTTAGCTTAGCACAAGGGGCCCTAGAATAAGGGTTCTAACCCAAGGTGGTCATGGATCCCTTGGAGAAGAAAATAAAATGTTATGTGTGAACTTGAGCACACATACACTCTTCCACTCAGATTTCGTCTTCCACAGGCTCCGGGAGTCCATGGACCCCCTAGGGCCATCACACTCGACCTTCCCCGACCCACAGGTCAGCGTTCCCTGTGGACTGTCAGCTCCCTGAGGGCAAGGGCCTGGTCTGTTGTGTTCACTGCCGTGTCTCCAGCTCCTAGAACAGCGCTTGGCATCCAGGAGGCACCCAGTGAGCACCTGTGGAATGGAGTGTGGAGCCTCCTGGTTTCACACCTCCTTGCCTTTGCACCTGTTCTTCCTACAGGGATGACAGAGACCCTTCTTCATTTCTAAGGTCCTCATCCTTTACAACTCAGCTCAAGTTTTACCTCTTTCTGGAGTTTGCCTGATCTCTAAGACTGGCTTAGGGACCCTGCCCCCAAACACTCCTCAACTCTACTGGAGCCCTCACTCACTCTGATGAAGAACCATCAGTTTACTTGCCTGCTGCCCTTCCCATGATACGTAAGTCTCTCAGGGGCAGGAACCACATCGTAGGTGTTTGTGACTCTTTCACAGGACCTTGTGTGTCACAAGCCATGGCAAACATTTGTTAAACAAATACAACAGAGTGGTGGGAAGTAGAGCTGAAAAAGCAGGCTGAGGTCAGTTTGGAATGACCTGTATGAGGCCAAGGACTCCCAATACTGTGAGACAGGTGATCTTGGATTTTGTTTTCTTGTTTTCTTTGGCTCCGTTTGTTTTTAAGGAAGGAGATAGACACAGCTGGGCTTGTGTGTTTAATGAATGGGGGACGGGACGTTGGAAAGGAGAGACTCTGAGTCCCCTGACACCACCCGCAGTCTGAGGAGAAAGGCCTTATCGCCTTGGATCTCCTGCGGGCTCCTGGCTCGCAGCTGCTTCGAGGCCCAGTGCACAACAGCACTAGCTCAGGGGTGACGCGGGCCGGTCCCGGCTCTGCAGCTGATTAGTTGAGCAATTCTACCCAAGGCACTGGCGTCCAGAGCCACCCTCTTCTGGTCTGTTAAGTGCCAAAAATAATAGTGAACTGGGTTCCTGGACCCCATTCCAACATTGGGGGGGACCCCCGCACCAACAAACAATTCTCAGACACCAGCAGGCCGTAGAAGAATTCAACTCAATTCTGACATTATCTACCCAGAGATAACATCAGATTCCACAGGTTAAAGGTTCAGTCCTACAAGATCTCCCGGCTCCAAACACAGACTTCAGACGCCAGCCCTAAGCCCAGGCTCTCGGGGCGTCTGACCAACTGGCTATAGCCCGGAGGTGCCGGTGACCTCCTCCAACTCAGAATGCCAGTCGCAAGTCTGGGTTGTCACCTGTGCCTCTGACCCGACTGGCTGTACATCATAGGTTGTACATCCCCCTCCCTGGCTTCTATTACTTTGTTCAAACAATTCACAGAATTTAGAAAAACATGTTCCTTGCTAGATCACTAGTTTGTTGCGCTATAACTCAGGAACAGCCAGATGGAAGAGATGGGTAGGTAAGGTAAGTGGAAAAGGGCGTGAAGTGTTCACGCCCCCTCCAGACCTGCTGCTCTGCCCAGGTCTTCATGTGGTCACCACCCAGAAGCTCCCTGAACCCCGTCCTCTTTTTTACGGAGGCCTCATTACATAGAAATGATTGATTAAATCGTTAAACATAGGCAATTGATTCAACCTCTAGCCTCTCTCCCCTCTCCAGGAATCAGGAGTCAGGTCAGAGGAGGAAGGAGGGTGGAACCAAAACTTCCAACCCTCGAATCACCTGGTTGTTCCTCCTGGCAAACAGCCCCCATCCTGCAGAACTGCGGAATGGAATTCACCTCATTCACATGGCAGGAGACACCTGTTTCATTCTCAACACTTAGGAAATCCCAGTGGTCTGGGCTTGCCGTGAGCCAGGAACTGTGGATGAAGACCAAATATGCTGGGAAATATAGTTTGGTCATCTGAATGACCACGCATATTTGAGATATTCTTACAATATCTCAAATATCAGCCCATTTACTATGCAAGACATTATTTATTCAGCCTAACAAATAGTTGTTATGCACCTTTGCATGAGGAATGTAAAAAGAATGGACAGACTGCTTTGGAAAAGTTTGGCTGTTCCCCCAGATAATTAAACATAGAGTCATTCTGACCCAGCAATTCCACTCCTAGGTATATACCAGAGAGAATGGAGAACACACAGCAACACAAATCCTAGACACAAATATGCATAGCCACATTATTTATAGCAGCCTAAAAATGCAAACAACCCACCCTTCCGTCCGCTGATGAGTAAACAAAAGATGTGAATGATAATACACAGCATATCATTTGGTCATTAAAAAAAAAGAGTGAAGGACGGATACATGTTACAAGATAGGTGAACCTTGAAAACATGATGCTCAGTGAAAAAAGCCGGACCCCAGAAAGCCCACATACTGCGTGACTCGCCCAGAACAGGCAGGTGCAGCACACTAGTGATTGCCGTGAACTGAGCGAGGGGAAAATGGGATGAGATTGCCAACGGGTATGAGGCTTCTTCCAGGGGAAATGAGAACGGTGTGCCATGGGATGGTGGTGATGGTTGTACCACTTTGTGGATATACTAAAATCCACTGAATTTCACACTTTGCAAGAGTGACATTTTATGACATGTGAGTTATATCTTGATTTTTTAAAATTTTAAACTTCTGCGTGTCAGGCCCTAGGGATTCCATGGTGAATAAGTCACAGACTCTCCCCTCAGAGAACAAAGAGTCCGTGGCAGAGAGGCTTAGCTGGGTGGAGTGGTCACCGGTGAAGTGCAATTGCTCCTAAAGGAAGCACCGTGGAGGGGATAGGTGTGGTGCCTTGAGAATGAAGGGTGAGGGGGCCGGGCGATCTAGACTGGAGGTCAGGGAGGACTTCTTAAGGATGCTGCTTGCACTTAAACCTGAAGCTTTCCATGTCTGAATCAGTTACTTATCGTCCCCTGAGACAAAGACCCAGCACAGGCAGGGGCTCCCCCACAGGAGAATGCCTGAGACATTGGGGGAAATGAACCAGAGAGTGGATGACACCCACAGAAGCAAGGGCGGGGGGGGGGGGGTGCTGCTGTGAGTTTGCAGCTGGAAAAGTAGATACAGAGCAATCGTATTGGATCTTCTAAAACAGTAAGAAGTGCTCGATAATGACGGAAATGACCTTCCTCCTCCCTGGCTCGCTCCTTCTCTGTGGGTGCCTCCGCCAGCTGCTTGCGCCACAAAATTGGAGTTATTCTAGCTCTTACTCCCAGCTGCACCTTTCACACTCAAACCTGTGGTTTCTGTGGTTAAAGACCTCTCATCTCCGTCCCCTGCTGTTCCTCAAGCCCAGGTCATCATCTGCTCCCAGCTGGATTCCTGCAACCCCTTCCACCTGCCCTTTCTGACTCCACCTGTGCACAGGATCCCTCCACCCAGTCAGAACCATCTACTGAAAGCCCAGAGTCCACCAGGCCACTACCCTTGAGAGTGCCTCATGACAGTTGGAGAAATGTACAAGGTCCCAACGATGCCCATGATTCTGTCCGGGCTTCACTGACTGCCTCCAGCCTCCCTCTGGCCTCCCTGCTGTCTATACTTGTGCCTTGGTGACCTCTTCCACCTGAAGTCCCTCCTGGCCATGGAACAGTCCCTTGCCCTGGCCTATCCACTCATTCAGATTTTGACTTAACAGTGACTTCCTTAGGGAAAGCTCCTTGCCTGACTCCAGCAATATATCCCTTTGATCTACAGAACAACTGGACTTCCCTTTGATAAAACTCACCACAGTGTGTCTGCTTCCTCTGATGGACTACATGGGCCAGAGGGCAGGGACCTGTGCCTACCTTCCTCGCCGCTCTCCTTCCACAAGGTAACACGACGCCCCCACCGTGCCCCCCACCCCCACCTAGCAAATTCCTACTCGTCCTTCAAATCTCACTTGCCTGTGACTTACAGCCTCCCCCGAGCACGCAGACCTGGGGGCACGTCTCGCCACATAGCCGCTCAGCTCCCTGGACATCCCTCGTGGACTTAGCACGACTGCACAAGCCACTGAGTTTGATGTCCCCCCTTTACAGTGTCCACCTTGTCTCTCTTGGTCCCAGCACCTATAGCAATGCTTATCACAAGACTCCTCTCAGGTCAGACAACAAGAATTCTTACAAAAACCCCTAAATTTGCCTGTAAAAGTGTATGTGCATGGACATTTTTCTAAAAAACAGTCCGTGGCTTGTGTGGAGTTCCAGACGTGACTAGGACCAGACGGAGATTAAGGACCTCTCCCCGGGAGCTGAAGGACGTGGCCTTTCCTTCAGAACAGCACTCCCAGCCCCGACCTCCACTGTGTGACACCACCCCCACTCCAACATGGGCTCCGAGAGGGCAAGGTTCCTTATCTGTTTTGTCCACTGATGTGTCCGAAATGCCTGGAATGGTGCCTGGCCGGTCCTGCATGTGTTGAATGGACAGTTGTAACAGCTGTGAGAACTGTACGTGTGTGCGTCACTGATGGCTACATAGCAAATTACCCCCAAATGTGACAGTTTAACATTTGTCATCTTAGTTTCTCTAGATTAGGAGTCAGGGTGCAGCTTCCCTGGGCTCCAGGGTCTCTCACGAAGCTGCAAAGTATTGGCCCAGGCTGCCGTCACCTGAAAGCTTGACTGGAGGGGATCTGCTTCCGAGCTCTCTCAGGCGGTTGTGGGCAGGATTCGGCTCCTCCCTGGCTGGAACCTACCCCTCGATTCCTTACCACCTGGACCTCTTCACAGTGCAGCTCCCCAGTTGGGAGCTTGCTTCACCAGAGTAAGAGGAAAAAGAGAAAGAGAGAGAGAGCACTAACAAGATGGCCACTACAATCCTGTGTCTTAACCTCAGAAGTGGTATCCCTCCCCTTTGCTGTGTTGTTAGAAGCAAATCTCTAAGGCCTTGAGGCATGAAGGGAAAGGAGTTATATGAGGGGTGAACAGCAGTGGGCAGGGCAGGAAGGGCCCCCTTAGACACAGCCTGCAACACATTTTCCCACAGAGTGTCCAGCTCATCCGGCCACCCAGAGCAGAAGGCGCAGGCCCAACGCCTGCAGGTCGAGCAGACAACGATGAGAGAAGAAACAAGGGGCAGGAGGTGTGGTGGACAGCCCAGCCACTGCCCAGCCCCCAGCAGGCTGCTGCAAAAGCAGGAATGCAGGCTGACTTGTCAGATCTTCTAAGTGTTCAAAAGCAGTGACGGTCCAGGTTTTCATGAGATATTTCCTGATTTTTAAAACTGTGCTAATCTAGCAAAATACGTCTGAGGATTAGTTTTGGACTCTCCTCTATGGCACAAAGAGCCCAAGCTATTCTAATACCCTTTGCATGTCTGTTCCATCTCTCCTGTACCCACCCCTCCCACCCCCTGCCCTCATTCACTGAGGGAGGGACCCAGCTGGTTCATTTGGGGCATGTTCTGTACTCCTTTGCAAGTAACAGGCCAACAATTAATATCATTGAATGGAATATGAAATCGCTGTCCCTTTGAGGAGCTCCCCCACCCCACCCCAATTCCAGAAGACTGGTTAAAACGTGGTATTGGTGTCTGAATACATTGTAATCCTGGCTCTGCTACTCATTTACTGTGTGACCTTTAGCAAGTTACAAACTGTTTGGAGGCTCAGTTTCTTCATCTATGAAATGAGAATAATTGTGCCTGCTTCCCAGTCATTGTAGGGATTAACTGTAATAAATATACTTATTAGCACATTGTAGCAACTCAATAGCTGTTCGTACTTACATCAGGCCCCTTCTTTCCTCCTGGCTTAATCTGATTAAACCAGCATCTACCACTATCCACCTGGCTGGCAGCTAGAGGGAGCCTCTAAAGTGAGAGATTTGGGAGCGTCACTGCCCCGGCTTACATCCTTGAGCAGTTTGCTGATCCCCTTAGTAAGAGAAAATCCGAACGCTTTTAGCAGCTCACCAGGCTCTCTTGGACCTGCGCCTGCCCAGCCTTCCAGCCCCATCCCTCACTGCCACCCTCCTGCACACTCCGCACTCCAGGCACACCCAAGCTTCGCTTCCTGGACCCTCCACACTTTCCGCCACTTCAAAACAAGTGCTCTTGTCTCCACAACTACCTCCCCTTCTAGGGGTTCCAGCTATGCGCTCAGAGGATTTCTGATGTACCTTGCTAAACCTGAAAGCAAGCCCAGTACTCATTTTCCTCACCTCTCCCCTCTTCCTAGCACAACGCCCGCATAGAATAAACGAATAATACATAATGGTAGGCTTGGCCTCAGCAGTGCCCATCAATCCCATGAGCACACAGCGCCACCTGGTGAACCACACTTGAACTCCAGTACCTAGAAAGAAGCCCACCGCTGCTCTCTGCCCACCACTAATGTCGGTGGTGGACAACAGTTTTGAAGTTTTCTGGTGGGGTTCTATCCATACAAAACTTAGAAAAAAAAATTTAAAAGCCAAGATTATTGTGTGCTTAGTGTGAGAGAGCTAGGCACTCTCCTAAATGCTTCTGTAATTAACACATTTAATTTTTACAACCAATGAGTTAGGTACTTTTATTGCTATTTTGTAGATGGAGCAACTGAGGCACAGGGCAGTTGAATGCCTCACCCAACGTCGCACTGCTACGAATGTCACCTCGGGCGGTCTGGCTTGAACCTGCACCTTTAAGCCTGAAACTCACTGCCTCTGTCTCCTTTGCTCCCCACCGGGTGACCTGGTGAGGCTACATCCCAGACACCTCCCTCTACCAAGATGGCCCACTGCAGAGAGACTACTGTCACAGTGGCTTTGGTGTCAACCGAAATCCCACGTGCAGTGAGTGCCCCCCACATTCTGGAGGCTGCACACCTCTCCAGGGGCATTCCTCAGGACAGGGACTAGCTGTGGTGGCAGCCCCTCCTCCGCGCGGCAGCAAATGCCGCTGTCAGTCCACGGCTCTGCTCTGCTCGTGACCCCAGCAAGCAGCCGCTCCTCTGGGCTGCCTGCTCCTAAGAGGACCCCTAGCCCAGCTGGGTGGATCAGATTGGGTGGATACTGTACGGAGAGTGCGGAGCTCTGTCCCTGATTCAGGGGGACGCTGAATGGCAATGGTGATCACTTGTCCTCTCTGGATCATGGGCCAAGTCGGGTCCCTTCACCTGCTTGGTATTGCCGTGTGGCCTCAGAAGGTTGGCTGCTTCCTTCTTAAATCTAGTCAGTCTACCTTTCACTGGCTCCTCTAAATACTTTTTAAATTTTTTATTTATTTTAGAGAGAGGGGAAGGGATGAAAACAGGGAGAAAACATCCATTGGTTGCCTCTCACACACACCCATCTGGGGGACCTGGCCCACAACTCAGGCATGTACCCTGACTGGGAATCAAACCAGTGACCTTTTGGCTTGCAGGTTGGCACTCAATCCACTAAGCTATGCCAGCCATGGCTCTAAATACTTTTTTATATCGTTTGTAATGCCTGCCTCCACTTAGTTTTGTTATTTAAATATTTGTTATCAATAATTATATTAATCACTTATAGCTACACATTTAATATAAACATAAGAGCATATTTTATAAATCATATAATATTAAATATATTTATACATAACAGCACATACAGGGTCCAGCCTGCTTGAGTGTGGTTGGTGAGGCAATATGAGTGTAGTTCATTTTAATTTGAACACTTCACCTAAAATGTCATATAGTGTGCCTCAGGGTGGTACTGTTCTCACAGAATTACATACTTATAATCTTGTAATAAAAGATTGTATAATTTAAAAAGGGGGCATTATTTGTGCTGGACTCAGTATATCCTCTCTCTATTCTGGGGAGGAGGAGGAACCCGCCTCCTCTTCCCCGTCTTTGTCATTGAATGAGCAGGGAGGGGTCTCACCATCTGGTGACTCCGTGAGAGGCCGCACTGCTGGAAGGGTGACTGTTTGGGGCAAGGAACTGTTGTTTAGGCCACTTCAGCATCCAAGACTAATTCCCTGGTTTATACTTGATTGAGACCAGGTGGCACCAGTGGTCAGGTCTAAATGTGAAACTCAGGGTAGAGGTCAAACGTAGTCGGATTTGACCCAGATCCTGTGGACGTATCTGTGACACAGCCTGCTAAAGCCTTTGGCACCCACTGATGCAGCGAGTTTCCGGGCCTCCAGAGAGGGTTTGCCTGACTCCAGGCCAAAGGACAGTCCCCTCCGCTGCAGCATTTGTGTGTCATCATGGATCTCGAAGGTGCTGTTGAAACTGAAAAGATATCCAAACTTGGCCCTGGAGATGCAAGTTTATGACTGTTCTCTTGCTTATAGTGGCGATTATACACACAGGTGAATGGTGAGTTTGGAGCCGGAGGGCCCTGGGTCTGCAGTTCGTTTGGCCCATTTCTCTGTACCAGCTTTTCCAAAGCCATTGGCTGCAGAAGCTCTTGCCCCTGGGCCCACTGCCTCTTCATCCGTTCTGTCCGCCTCTCCGTCTTTTTCTCCAGGTTTTTCTTTTTTTAATAAAGATTTTATTTATTTTTAGAGAAGGGGAGAAAGAGAGGGAAAGAAACATCAATGTGTGGTTGCCACTTGTGCTCCACCAACTGGGGACCTGGCTCACAACCCAGGCGTGTGCCCTGACCGGATCCTTTGGTTTGTAGGCTGACACTCAATCCACCGAGCGACACCAGCCAGGGCCTCTTTCTCCAGGTTTTGACACTCCTGAGCAGAATCGGCAGGCCAATCCACTTGATTTTTTTCCTTCGAAATAATGTTCACTGCCATTAGCACATTTAAAACACCACAAACTCTTTGCCTAGTGTTTTTCTGGGCATAAGCCGAATCAGCTACCAAAAGGTTATTTGAAATGCTGAACTCTGACACCAGCTCATCAGCTACTTCATTATATGG